TGCAGACGCAGAACAGGGAAGTCCGAGCCAAAGCTCCGCCTGAGCTGGAGACGAGCCGCGCGGATCCAGTCGATCAGGACCTCAGGGACATCACCCTTGCTTCGCAAGGGGAAGACCGTGGTGTAACGCGAGTAGTCGTCAACAACGAGCAGGAAGTAGCGCTCGTGACCTTGTCCACGGACGCGGGCTGGGCCCCACACGTCCATGTGAAGCGTCTGCAACGGGGCCTCTGTCGGAGGAAACTAGGAGGAGTGAGGGGCAGCCCGCTGGCGCCCCTTGACACTGGGGACACAGGCAGGGCCAGGGCCCTGAGGAAGGGGAGGGAGGGACTGGGGGAGACCACACACAAGAAGACGGGAGGCCATGCCTCTGGGCCGAAGCAGAGAGGGGTGACCAAGACGGTGGTGCCAGAGGAGAGTCTCGTGAGACAAGAGACGACACGAACAGGGGGCAGACTCAGGACCAGACCTGGACGCTGCAGCAAGCACCTGACTGGACAAAGCGACTCTACCAGACTCAGTAACGGGAGGAGACGCAGTGGTCAGTGTGTACAGGCTCGACCCTGGCTGACGGGTAAACGTAGCCAAGTGCCGGCCTGTGCTAGCCTCTGTACAGTGCGTCACCCGCTGACGCGCAGGAGTGAACTGGTGTACTCCCCCATCCTGTAGGTCAGCACCACTCACCAGGTTCGTCGAGAACGAGGGGAGGTAGAGACCAGATCGGGTGCCAGAGGGAGCCGCCGGACACGGGAGGACTGTGGAGAAGCGAGACAGTACAGGACCCCCGGAGGGGTCAGCCAGAGACACCGCAACCGGCCGACTAAGCGGCGTGAGTGTGGTGCGGTCCCGAAAGAAGGAGCGAGACGCCCTAGAGTCAAGAGTGAAGGTGAGGGAGGCCGAAGCCGACGTAGTACCTGAGAGCGCAGACTCACCAGTACCTGAGGACGCAGACACACTAGCACCTAGAGCAGCAGCGTCGCAAGCACCTAGGGCAGCAGCCTCAATGCCCGGATCGGGCGGGAAACAGCGGTAGCAATCACCCTCATCACTATGAGATACAGCATACATGGCAGAGAGAATAGCATCAAAGTCAAGATCAAAGATGGCAAGCCCCGTCCTAGACAGCTCGTCCCAGCGAGGGGCAGGGGAAGCGCCAGAGGTAAGGTCAAAGAGAGAGAGGTCGTCTGCCCTATCGCACTGTAAGAACAGCTGCAGGTCGTCTACCCAGACCTCAAAGTCAATGGCCCGACCTCAGCGTCAAAAGCGAGGACACTAGGGGTAGCCATGACGACAGTAGCCTAGCAGTGCAAGCAGTAGGGGAAGGGCACGCAGTGACAGTGGGGCTGCGCTCACCGGACAGGGCAGGTCGGGCGGCTCGGCTGCTGGGCGGCTCGGCGGCTCGGCGGCTCGGCGGCTCGGGTGCTGGGCGGCTCGGCGGCTGGGCGGCTTGGCGGCTCGGCTGCACACCGGCTCGGCTGCTGGGTGGCTCGGCTGGTGGGCGGCCGGGCGGCTCCTCCGGTACTCGGCGGCGCGGCGGTCGGCTGCTCAGGTGCACGCTGCAGGGTGGTGCTGCGGTCAGCGGCACGAGAGGAGAGTGGCACGGCCGCAACAGACGGGCGGCGGGGCCCCAGGTGCAGGGCGGCGGGGCCGCAGCAGAAGGGTGGCGGGGCTGCGGCGGGGCCGCAGTAGAAGGGCGGCGGGGCCGCTAAAGCAGGGCGGCGGGGCCGCGAAGTGAGGGCGGCGGGGCCGCGAAATGCAGGGCGGCAGGGCCGCGAGGAGTAGGGCGGCGGGGCCGCTAAAGCAGGGCGGTGGGGCCGCGAGAGCAGGGCGGCGGGGCCGCGAAGTGTAGGGCGGCGGGGCCGCGAAATGCAGGGCGGCGGGGCCGCGAAATGCAGGGCGGCGGGGCCGCGAGGTGTAGGGCGGCGGGGCCGCGAGGTGTAGGGCGGCGGGGCCGCTAAAGCAGGGCGGCGGGGCCGCGAGGTGTAGGGCGGCGGGGCCGCTAAAGCAGGGCGGCGGGGCCGCGAAGTGTAGGGCGGCGGGGCCGCGAAATGCAGGGCGGCAGGGCCGCAAGGTGTAGGGCGGCGGGGCCGCTAAAGCAGGGCGGCGGGGCCGCAAGGTGTAGGGCGGCGGGGCCGCTAAAGCTGGGCGGCGGGGCCGCGAGGTGTAGGGCGGCGGGGCCGCTAAAGCAGGGCGGCGGGGCCGCAAAGTGTAGGGCGGCGGGGCCGCGAAATGCAGGGCGGCGGGGCCGCGAGGTGTAGGGCGGCGGGGCCGCGAGGTGTAGGGCGGCGGGGCCGCTAAAGCAGGGCGGCGGGGCCGCGAAGTGTAGGGCGGCGGGGCCGCGAAATGCAGGGCGGCGGGGCCGCGAGGTGTAGGGCGGCGGGGCCGCTAAAGCAGGGCGGCGGGGCCGCGAGGTGTAGGGCGGCGGGGCCGCTAAAGTAGGGCGGCGGGGCCGCAAAGTGTAGGGCGGCGGGGCCGCGAAATGGAGGGCAGCGGGGCCGCGAGGTGTAGGGCGGCGGGGCCGCGAGGTGTAGGGCGGCGGGGCCGCTAAAGCAGGGCGGCGGGGCCGCGAGGTGTAGGGCGGCGGGGCCACGACAGTAGGGCGGCAGGGCCGCTAGGGGAGGGAAGGCCGCTAGGGCGGCTCGTCGAGTTAGCAGCCCGAGGCGCGACTCGGGATGAGCGCGCTTCGGGCAGTAAAAAAAAATCGAAGTGGTGGGCCCTAGGCGCAGTTCCCACAGAGGAACCTGCTCGGTACCATGAGGAAAGTTGAACAAGAATGATGTGAACTATGAATGAAGCGAGTACAAATATGAAACCCTAGTTGGGTTGTACCCCCTATGGAATACCCCAATATAGCCTACACAATAGCATAAGCTATAATGTTCTGACACACTCACCCCCGACGGACGGAGGACAGACAGACTTAGACTCAGCGACAAGACTAGCTGCGTAGTCTAGACGACAGCGAGCAGCAAAGTCGACGAGCTCAGCAACTAGGGCAGACACAGCAGTGGACTCAAAGGAAGGGTCAGTAACGACAGTAGCAAGGAGACGCGTGACAGTAGGACTGGCAGCACGAAGAGAGTCCGACTCCGGGTCGGAAAGAGCAGGAAGAGAGGACTCAGGAGGAGAAGGCAAAGGGGCACGCAGAGGAGCAGTGGACGGACGCAGAGACATCCGTTGCGTGCCAGGGACAGGAGGAGGACGCTGACGCGAACCACGACCACTAGTGCGAGCAGGACGGACAGGCGACGCAGGTCGAGAAGAAGGCTCACGACGCTCAGCAAGACCTCCACTAGGACCAGTGTAAAGAGAAGGAGCAGGCAGTGGGGAGGCCGGCTGTAACTGTAACTGTGACGGGACAGGCTGTGGACACTCTAAGGGAGGAGGAGGACCAGTAGAAGGCGGAAGACCAAGAACCTGCTGAAGGAGCGGAACGAAGTACGGCCGAGGCCGCGCGGCGACTCCAGACACAGCAGGGACAGCACCAGTACCCCCAGTGGTAGCACCAGTGCCAGCAGCACCTCCAGCTCCAGCACCCCCAGCAGCTCCAGTAGCTCCAGGACCTCCAGCAGCACCAGTAGCACCCCCAGCAGGACCGCCTCCAGGACCGACAGCAGTAGCCTCAGCGCCAACACCCTCAGCAGCTCCAGTACTCCCAGTACGAGCACCTCCGGGACCCGCGACACCAGCACCCTCAGTAGCCGAAGAACCTCCAGCTCCAGCAGCATGCCTCCAGCGCCGGGCAAACCACTCGCGCAGCTCCTGTGGAGAGAGTGGCTCCCACCGAGACGAAGCACCCGGAGAACCTCCAGGCACAGTACCGCCAGACGCGACACGAGAAGGCCCAGCTCCCTCAGGCTCCGCACCCCCAGGCTCAGCACCTCCAGGCGTAGCACCCCCAAGCTTAGCACCCCCAGTCGTAGCACCCCCAGGCTCAGCACCTCCAAGCGTAGCACCCCAGGCTCAGCACCCCCAGTCGTAGCACCCCCAGGCTCAGCACCCCAAGGCTCAGCACCCCCAGTAGTAGCACCCTCAGGCTCAGCACCCTCAGGCGTAGCACCCACACGCTCAGCACCCCCAGTCTTAGCACCCCCAGGCTCAGCACCCTCAGCAGCACCAGAATCACCAGCAATCTCGACAGGCTCGACTGCGTCTACCTGGGACACACCTGAAGGGGCAGGACCCTGAGGGGGGAGGGGGTCTACCGGGGGGGGGACCTGGCACAAGGAAGAGCGGTGGCGGGGGGAGGGACGGAGTGCGGTAGGGGAAGAGGCGGTAGTAGGGGACCGACTCGTCAAACGTGACATCCTGGGAGGACAGAACACGGCGAGAGGTGGGGTGGTAGAACTGCCACCCAGTCGCGTCAGGGGGGAAGCCAAGGAAGATGCAAGGAGCACCACGAGGGGACAGCTTGTCCGCAGACAAATCGCGAACAAACGCTCGAGATCCCCAGACACGGAACGCAGACGCATCGCCAACCTTCCCGGTCCACAGCAAAGCTGGGGAGGTCTCCGGCATGGAGACCCTGGGCTGAAGGTTGATCTGATGCGCCGCGTACCGAACCGCAAACGGCCACAGAAAATGGGGGGCAGATGCATGCATCATGGACGTACGGGCGACGTCCATGACCATGCCAATGCGGCGCCCAACAATCCCATTTTGCTGTGGAGAGTCCGGAAGCGTGAAGGTCTGGCGGATGCCTCGTGCACGACAGTAGGCTCGCAGAAGGCCAGAGGAGAACTCTCCGCCTCTGTCAGAGTGCAGACGCAGAACAGGAAAGTCCGAGCCGAAGCTCTGCCTGAGCTGGAGACGAGCTGCGCGGATCCACTCGATCAACACCTCAGTGACATCACCCTTGCTGCGCAAGGGGAAGACTGTGGTGTAACGCGAGTATTCGTCAACCACCAGCAGGAAGTAGGGCTCGTGACCCTGTCCACGGACGCGGGCTGGGCCCCACACGTCCATGTGAAGCGTCTGCAGCGCGGCCTCTGTCGGAGGAAACTAGGAGGAGTGAGGGGCAGCACGATGCCGCCCCTCGACGCAGGGGACGCAGGCAGGGGCAGGCCCTGGGGGAAGGGGAGGGAGGGACCGGGGAAGACCAGAGACAAGGACACGGGAGGCCATGCCTCGGAGACGAAGCAGGGAGGGGTGACCAAGGCGGTGGTGCCAGAGGAGAGTCTCGTGAGACAGGAGGCGACACGAGCAGGGGGCAGACTCAGGGAGCAGCAGCAGAGGCAACAGAGGGCAAAAGGGGGGAGGGGGAACACCCCTCAAAGACGGGGGTGCGAGGGTCACCACGAGAGGCTCCTACAGCGACTATGCTCTTCTCTGCCGCTAGGAGGGCCTTCTCGAGGAGGTCAACGGTGAGAGTGGTGGGGCAAACTGAGAGGAAGTGGTCCCTGACTACGCGGAGAGAGTCAGGGAGCCGGGTGACTATGTAGTAGGGGGTGATGTACATGGGGGGGGGGTTCTTGGCGCAGAACTCAGCAGGAAGCGCAGCGCGGTAGCGAGTGTCACTAGTGCGGAGGTGCGTAATGAGGTCAGTGATTGTGGGAAAGGCAGCAAGGTCAGGGAAGAGGTACGGTAGCATGAGGTGGCTCAGTGCAGCAGTGGCAGGGGAGGAGTAGCGTGCAACTACAGCGTCGTACAAGGTATGAGCACTCTTGTACTGGCTAAAGTGCGCACGCTCAGAGGTAGGCAGGTGGCGACGCACAGCAAGACGTGCAGCAGCATCGCGTGTGGCCCACTGTGAGCGAACAGTGGCGTCAGCATCAGCAGCAGGGGCAGGAGAGGCACCAGAAGTGAGATCAAAGAGGAAGAGACCGTCTGCCCTATCACACTGTAGGAAAAGCTGCGGGTCATCTACCCAGACGTCAAAGTCAATGGCCCGACCCTCAGCGTCAAAAGCGAGGACACTAGGGGTAGCCATGACAGCAGTAGACTAGCAGCGCGAACAGTTGGGTAAGGGCAGTGCAGTGATAGAGGCGCTGCTCTTACCGGACAGGGCGGCTCGGGCGGCTCGGCGGCTCGGTAGGAAATGCAGCTCGGCGACTCGGCGGCTCTGGCGGCTCGATGGCTTGGCGGTACGGTGGCTCGGCAGCTCGGCGACCCGGCGGCTCGGGCGGCTCAGGTGGCGCGGCGGCTCGGGCGGCTCAGGTGGCTCGGGCGGCTCGGCAGTAGCTCGGCGGCGCCGGCGGCTTGGTGGTGACGGCGGGGCCGCGTGGGGACGGCGGCGGGGCCGGTAGAGGCAGCGCCGGGGCCAGGAAGGGTAGCGTTGGGGCCGCAGGGTAGGCGACGGGGCCGCAGGGTAGGCGACGGGGCCAGCAGAGGCGGCGTTGGGGCCGCAGGGTAGGCGACGGAGCCAGCAGAGGCGGCGCCGGGGCCGCAGGGTAGGCGACGGGGCCAGCAGAGGCGGCGGCGGGGCCTCGCAGGGTAGCACCGGGGCCGCAGGGTAGGCGACGGGGCCAGCAGGGTAGGCGACGGGGCCAGCAGAGGCGGCGCCGGGGCCAGGAAGGGCGGCGCTGGGGCCAGGAAGGGCGGCGCCGGGGCCGGGAAGGGCGGCGCCGGGGCCGCAGGGGTAGGCGACGAGGCCGCTAGGGCGGCTAGGAGGGCGGCACGAAAGGGCTGCGATGGCGGCGCGAACGGGCCGCGAGGGCGGCGCGACGCGACGGAGCCGCGAGGGCGGCGGATCGGGGCCGCGAGGGTGGCGCGACGCGGCCGCTAGGGCAGCGCGACATGACGGGGCCGCGAGGGCGACGCGACGGGGCCGCTAAGGCGGCGCGACAGGGTCGAAAGAGGGGAGCGCGACTCGGGCAGAGTAGAGCGCGCTCCGGGCAGGAAAGAAAAGGTGGTGGGCCCTAGGAACAGTTCCCACAGGGGAACCTGCTCGATACCATGAGAAAAATGAACGAGAATGAATTGACTAAGGGAAAGTTGGGTACAAGTGCAAACCCTAGAAAGTGGTACCCCATATGTGCTACCCCACTATAGCCTACAACAGCTATGTCATATAAATCTGACAGTATGAATAGTGTTGAACATATGATTATGCACTTTTCTATTTTAGTAGTTTTATGTTTTTCTTCAAATTTTGTATTTTCGTTTCATTACAACTCATTAAACTCAAGGTTGGTTCCATTGCTAATCAAAGAATGTGTGAATTATCATAGTGGATATTTTGATAATCGTTGTTACACTGCACTATGGAATGAAATTTCTACCTATGTTGATTATTGAATATTGTAATTGTTGTTTAATGTTGAATATTTTCTCTTTAAACAATGTGTTTCATGTTCTGTTCATTATCTTGCAGAGCCATCAACAATACAGTCGATTGCATCTGTGAAAATTTAGAAAGAAGAAGAGAGGAGTTGACTAGCAGCAGTTGGGATACATATAGCAAACCCTAACAGGGTTGTACTCGCTATAGAGCACCCCACTACAGGCTAGATAAGAACATTCTGACACACCCCCATAGCCAAAGTGGGGTGTTATCAGCAGAGCAAGCAGGCATAGAACAAGCTCAGGGTGGATCACAATGTCACCACACATTCTGAGCACAAGTACAAGAAGCAACAGTTTAAAGTTCACAATTAAGAGCAAAGCTAGTAGTAGTCACAGCGGGCAAGTGAGGAGGAGGAGGGACAGTGAGAGGAGAGGAGATAGGAGAGGAGATAGGAGGCGACGACTGAAGCTGCAGACACACGGGCAACAGGAGACACACTGGCACAGCGGCTACCGGAACAACGCTCCGGACTATTGGAGTGACTGGCCCCGCGGCTAAAAGTAGCAGCAGACGAGCAACGGACCCTCGGGCGACTGGCACAGCTGGCTGCGACTGGGCTACCGGAGCAACTCCCCGGACTACAGGTGCTGCTGGCGATGACGGCAATCTCCGTTCAACCTCCCCAAACAGTCCCACCCCCCTCGACACACACCCCCTGCTTCACCGCTAGCTCCACTCCCCCTTCACCCCCCTTAGTACCATTCCGACGGCTCCAACAGGTCCACCCCCCTCAGCGGCAGCTGCAGCACTGGGAGACGGAGGAGGAGGAGGAGTAGGGGACGGCACGCAGAGGTTTCACCCCCATACCCCCCACACCCCCAAACCCTAATGTAGGAGAACGGGCAGTAGCAGGGGTGGGGTGCCTTTACAGGCACGGGGGACAGTGGGAAGCGCAGGGGCAGGGCAGAACGGGCCGCCCACGGGCCTGGCACAGCCGCCCGAGCCGCGCGCAGGCGGCCCGAGCCGCGCGCGGGCCTGGCGCAGGCCGTACGGGCCGCGCGCGGGCCTTGCGCAGCCCGTACAGGCCGCGCGCTGCCTGTACGGGCCGCGCGCAGGCCACGACGGGCGACGGGGGGCGACGCGCAGGTCCCTGTCGCCAGTCGCAGCGCCTCTCGGGGGCGACGCGGCGAGTGACGGGGCAGAAACCCGCCGCGCGCCTCGGGGCGCACGGCGGGCAGAGAACCGCCGCGCGCCTCGGGGCGCACGGCGGGCAGAAAACCACCGTGCGCCTCGGGGCGCACGGCGGGCAGAAAAAAAAACCGCCGCACGCTCCGAGCGCGCGGCGGGATGAGAACCCGTTGCACGCCACGGGGCGTGCAACACAGAGAGTAGCAGTAGCAGGAGCAGCGGAAGCAGTGAGGTGGTGGGCCCACCCACAGGATCGATCCAAGGGGATGGACCTGCTCTGATAGCATGTGAAAATTTAGAAAGAAGAAGAGAGGAGTTGACTAGCAGCAGTTGGGATACATATAGCAAACCCTAACAGGGTTGTACTCACTATAGAGCACCCCACTACAAGCTAGATAAGAACATTTTGACAGCATCGATCTACTCTAGCATTGCGGAGAGCGCTGAAGTGAGCTGTTCCGTGTTTTGATTCTCGTTATTCAATTGTATGATTTTGTAATGAGTAATATTATTTTTTAATAAAACATTGGCTATTTTTATCAGTTTTTATGATTTTTATTAAGTTCAAGTTGTAATATCATTGTATAATGCAACCCGTTTCAGCTGCTCTTTGCATCTGATTGTTATTTGTTATTCATTAATACGAAATTGTGTGTGTACGCAGGTAACGCGGGAGGCATTTTTTAGGACGGTTGTCTTCGTTCAGCTATGGGGTCTTCTTCAGTACAGCTTTTCACGGGACCTTCGCTTGACGGTGAGTTAAGGCGAAGGTATTTATTTCGTAGGCGATTCGTGCAAGGCGATGGTGCATGTTTGTATAGATGTCTATCACTCGCAACATGGAATGACGATAATTATTGGGACCTATTAAAAGTGATGATTGTTGAGCATGTTTGCGACAACTGGTCACGATATCAAAACTTGGTTGCAATGTGTCACGATGTGTCGTTAACGACGATAGACCAGTATGTTTAATATATCAACGAACAATCTGTTTGGGGTTCAACGTGCGAAATTAGAGCATTTTGCGAGTTAATGAACAAAACAGTCATAGTATGGCTTAATTCTCGCGAGTGGGTGCAATACGAAGGCTTAGAGTTCCTATCTCGACATAACCAGATTCATTTGTTGTTATCCAGGAACCATTACACTCTACTTGAAGAGTGTAACGAGGGTGAGATCTGGGGTCGCTTGTTCTTCGCTTCTAAAGTGTCGAGCGTACCTTATAGACGGGTTGAACCAGTAACGCACCACATGCAGCATGAGCATGCGTCATTAGGCGATGATTCGCTTGAGAAAGCAAGGAGTGCACAATCTTTCGGTAGTGCGGAAGTTATGGAACAGTCAAGCAATCATGACGAACGAGTGGGATCAGTAACTACTGCTCGAGTATATAGTACGCGTCCTGTCAAACATTATATATGTTGTGTTAGTTTAGGCTACAGTGGGTTAGCCTATAGGGGGTACACAATTCTAGGGTTAGGTATGTCAGAACATATAGCTTGTGCTTATTCTGTAGGCTATAGTGGGGTAGCCCATAAGGGGTACAACCCAATTAGGGTTAGTACTTGTACTCAGTTCATTCATAGTTCATCCATTCTCGTTCAACTTTTCTCATGGTATCGAGCAGGTTCCCCTGTGGGAACCGTGCCTATGGCCCACCACCATATCGAAACCTTTTTTTTTTCTGCCCGAAGCGCGCTCATCCTGAGTCGCGCCTCGGGCTCTTATCTCGTCGAGTCGCCCTAGCGGCCCTCCCTCCCCTAGCGGCCCCGCCACCTGTTCGTGCGGCCCCGCCGCCCGTTAGTGCGGCCCCGCCACGCATTCGCGGCCCCGCCGCCTTTCTCCTGCGGCCCCGCCGCCCTACTTCGCGGCCTCGCCGCCCCACTCCAGCGGCCCCGCCGCCCTACCTCAGCGGCCCCGCCGCCCGTCTGCTGCGGCCCCGCCGCCCTACGCCTGCGGCCCCGCCGTCCTACTTCACGGGCCCCGCCGCCCTACTTCCGCGGCCCCGCCGCCCCACTTAGCGGCCCCGCCGCCCGTCTGCTGCGGCCCGGCCGCCCTACGCCTGCGGCCCCGCCGCTCTACTTCAGCGGCCCCGTCGCCCCACTTCGCGGCCCCGCCGCCCCACTTCGCGGCCCCGCCGCCCTTCGCTGCGGCCCCGCCGCCCTTCGCTGCGGCCCCGCCGCCCTTCGCTGCGGCCCCGCCGCCCTTGGCTGCGGCCCCGCCACTCTTAGCTGCGGCCCCGCCGCCCTTCGCTGCGGCCCCGCCGCCCTTCGCTGCGGCCCTGCCGCTCTTCGCTACGGCCCCGCCACCCTTAGCTGCGGCCCCGCCGCCCTTACCTGCGGCCCCGGCGCTGCCCTTCCCGGCCCCGGCGCCATCTCTGCTGGCCCCGTCGCCGCTCCACCCGGCCCCGCCACCGTCTCCTAGCGGCCCCGCCGTCACCACCGAGCCGCCGGCGCCGCCGACCTGTTACCGAGCCGCCCGAACCGCCCGAGCCGCAGCGCCACCTGAGCCGC